GCGTTAAAAATTTATCTCAATTTTTAGTCTCACCACATATAGTTAATATTAAATATTTAATTACATTTAGTTACGTGTTTGTAATGTTACACACAAAACAGATTTGCACGACAATTCAAAATTGTGTAATCGACAAATAAGAGATTATTAGTACTTTATTACATAACTTCTTCAGCCATTTTCTCAATAAACAATTCATACCTGTGCAAGGTATGCAGTGAATTCGCGATAGAGAAAAACAGCGCCGACAATATGTCGCGCGAAGTTTAACTGTCGATAAAACGAGCCGATTGTCGAATCCCATTCAGGGTTGAACGTCGATCGAGAGAGACCAATAGCGAATAGCAGGTGCGATCGTATGCGACAGCGACGTTGAAGCCAACCGCAAAGCCGTGCTGCGAGCGACTCTCCTATATACAGAGATAATCCGTAATCCTTCAATTATTATCGAATTACAATAATTATGGTCGGACGTATAATACAAACGTCTGATTCTCCCGATCATGTCTATCGTGGATTGGCAAAAATAACGCGTTGCAACGAAAAGTTCTATTGTAGTAATTTATCTTGTTGCATACAGTTATGTTATCAATATAGTACATAATAGATGTAACTTTATATCACGAATCATTTATCGCGTTGATTATTACTACTGCATTCAATAAACAAATTTTTATATAAATTAGCTCCGTATAATAATATCTTTATTATATACACTCCAAAAAATATGGGCATTAGATTTAACACCGTAGACGTGAAATATCAGAAGTGTCTCGACACTAAAATACGCGAAGCGACGAGATCGATTATGTATCTTTACGCGAGCCGTCGATTTTTTCAGTATAATTCTTATACTTGTTGTCAGTGTTCATATAAATACCAATTTATGATGTGGATTTAACATCATGAGTTCTAAACCATAATCTACATCATGTTAATGTTTATATCAACACTAACATGGTGAGAATTATATAAACACCGCATGATGTTAAATCCATATTCCTATTTTTTAGTGTATTTATTATTTTAAAGTGTGTACATATAATATAATACGTATTACGAAATATTACTGTCACGGTTTTTAATGGAACGGTATTAAGCTGTTGATACGTCCGACAGAATCATCGAAATGCCGATATTGAAGTACGGTTATATTGATGCCCGGTATAAGACATTGTCTATATACAAGGGTAGGTGGAAAAGATATAGAAAGGAAAAGAGAGGTACATTATTTTCTACAACTAGGAGAAACCACATTTCATTCGAAGCCAGTGTCCATCCCCGATCATCATCTTCGACTTTAATTTACCGAGGTAGAGTGGTCTTCACATTTTTGCAGCGACATCGTACTCGCTGTATGTACGTTGCCCATACATATAACTCGGATGGTCGCTTCAAAAATCAGAAGACACCCTAGCGAACACGTCCTACCCCTCATCCGCGTCCCTCATACGTAACCCACTCTCTCATTCTCTCTCTCTCTCTCTCTCTCTCTCTCTCTCTCTCTCCCTCTCTCCTCCTCTCTCTCTCTCTCTCTTTCTCGTTGCTATCCCACCAAACCTCGAGTCGCGCCGATGTGGTGCTCCCACTCTAGCTCTGAACTCTGGGAAGTCACACGCACACACCAGCAAATAACGCCCACGCGGTCTGCACGGTAGGCGTGGCCATCTTGTCATTTGTCTCCTCTACTTTCCCCGAGGCGTTAGGGGATCCCCGGGATGGCGCTCTGTTCCTAGCTTGACGTATGTACTGCTGCTACAACCCCCGTTTTCGTATCGCGCTCTTCGTTTTCCGCGCGCCCGCCGCGTTCTCCTCCATCGAGTGCTTTAGAGTCGCGCGTCCCCTCCCCTCTGTACCGCGCCGGTAGTTACTCTCCGTCTCTTTCCGTTTTTCCTTTCCGTCCACCCTGCATTTGTCGTTTTTCTTCTACAGATATTCACACTCTCTCTCTCTCTCTCTCTCTCTCTCTCTCTCTCTCTCTCTCTCTCTCTCCTCTCTTTGAAAGATGCTTCCATCCCTCGCTCCATTTTGTTGCGTGACAACTTCTTGACGCCAGTCACGACGTCCACGGCTCCCTTTGCTGACGACAATTCTCTTACGAGGATCACGCGCGGCCCACTTCGTCTCTGACCCTTCTGGACCTTGCTCCCCGTCGCGATAAGAACGAGTCGGGCGTCGTCATGTCTACGAAGTAGTTACCGAGAATCTTGTAGGTTATTCGGTTGACGCAATACTAATCGATGTAATATGGAGAATGGACGAGACACTAAATGCAACTTGCAATTTGATCGATCCTGAAGCTGAGAGCGAATTGCAGGTTGTAGCTAAAATCTTTCTATCTATTTCATTTTTATCTCTTTCATATGTTAATTATAAATTTTAAACGCTATGTGTGAAGATCAATAACATCGATAAATTTAGGCTTCGTTATTTAAATAGTGAAAAAGAAGTGATTAACGTATTTAAATTATTGCAATCAAGATTATTTCCAACGTACACACATACTAATATTATTTGATGTAGTACGCCCTCTGATATGTATATATCAGATTGTACTTTTCGAAGTCATCATGACGTCTTCTTACATCATGGTGTATATCATGATGAGTCATCATTGATGACAATGCTGTTTTTCCTAAATTGATGATAAAAAGCTATCACTGAAGTCCTGACAACGACGTGATAAATTCTAGACTGCGTTCAGAAACTTCATTCGAAACTGCACTCATGAATCATTTTAGCCTTATTGTTAAACCGTACGTTAAACAAGGATAAAATGAAACACATATATATATATAGGTTCACCCGAGAAGTTCCTGAATGCAGCCTTGAATTCTCAGACCAATCGCGCGTAAGCGTTGTACTATCAATCGTATCATTTGGCAGTAGATCAGACAGTTGGGAATTCGCTTTCCCTCGACAACGCTCGCGCAGCATGCCCGCAGTCGTAAACTCCTTGTACTCAAGACACACCTCTCGAAATCGAACAGTATGCCCAATATAGACGACTCCAGACGTCACTGCAAACCGATGTTTGCTCCGACTGATAAGCCGAACGATAACTGTGTACTAGCAATCTCAATTTTAAATAGAGCCGCAAACTTTATTTTCAATTTTGCGAGACACACAAGATGGTGAAGTTACTGAATATTATATCCAAAACAAAATAATAATTCACGAATCATATTAATGTGGTGACAAAAATAACAAATAGAATATACCGAGTGAGTATTATATTTGCGACTGGACTCCTAATGAATTTCAGGGTTTTAAATCACAGTGCAGGTAATTGTTAACAATTTTTATAATTGAACTAGTATACACTTACTGGTCCAAAGTATAATAATATTTTCTTTTTATCCCTAATTAGTGTGTACTTTTCAGATATACGTTTAAAAATTTGGCGAAAACAAGAAGAAAGTTCTAGGCCAGTTCAGAGTAACAATAAAAAACAAACATAATAAAATTTCCTGATGTTCTTTCTCCACTTTATTCTCTTCTATGAATCACGTGTGAGAGAAGCGGCAAGATTGACTTCTTGCAACAGTGTAGGAATCCCAAGCTGTTCTTTTCTGCTTTATTTGCACGTGAGTTTTCAGGTAAACAAACAGTGAGATATAGCGATGCATTTCTTACGAAGGCGAAGGGTAATCGCTGAAGACTACTTTGCTGGTGGTGGGATCGCGATCTCGCGTGGTCAAGGCGTTACGAGGTCGACTGGGAGAAACAACAAACGATAATCGTTGTAGTATAGCAAGATCCACAAGATCGCCGGTAGTTCAAGAGAAAAGAGGAAACACCACGTGTGCGACGTATGCGTGTGCGTTCGCTCGAAGGGGCAAGCACGCCAACCACTGTCTCCACCGTAGGAGGGGCAACTTCGGGTCAAAGGTGGGGTTAAAATCCGAAAGTGGGGATGAATCGGAAGGGATGCGCGTCGGTGACACTGAACGTTAACCAGTATGACCGCCTCGAATAACTATACGCAAGAAGAGAAAACTATACGAAAAAAGATACAAAAGATCGTAGCATAGAAAATTCTATTATAGCGATAATATTGTAATACTATAGCGAGATGGTCGAAAACGAACAACAGGCAGAGAAAAAACAATGACAGACTATAGGCACCTAAAGAATTACTCTGTCGCGCAGACTCACAAGACAGAAAATTCGGTGCTAGAGATCACGCGAGCAACGAGGTACAGTGGAGAAGGAGCGCTATGCGATTCTAGAAGAAGGGATGCTGTGCAAGAGGAAGACGTGCGAAGGGGTTGGCTAGAAGGAGTGCGGTGGAGGGACAAGGCTGTGTATAAGAGATCGTGAGGTAGCGGGCAAGAACCCGTTTATATGAACAAGGATGCACGCGATTAAAGCGAGAGGATGCGAATCGCGAACAAACAGCAGCGAGAGAGACGCGATCGAGATGGGGTGAGCCGAGGGAGGAAAGGAGCGCGAGCGGCAACGCGGACACAGGCGTGAGAGATCGTACCAAGGGGAACGAGCGGTGCTAGAGAGCGAGTAACGCCACGAGTACGAGCGAGATGTGATAGGTGGGGAGTCTGCTCCGGGTGTGGAGGCAAAGAGAGAAGGAACGGATGGAGGGGAGTAAGAGCGAGCGAGCCAGAGGGAGAGGCGCAGTCAGACAGTCAGGCAGGCCGCCCGGC